CCCCCCCCCCCCCCCAGCTGCGGAAGCCTGAGGGTGAGGACCCCTGACTAGGGCATTAGGAAGGAGCCCAGACCCTGCTTTTTCCTCTCCCTGCTGTGTGGGTTTGGGCAAATTATTAAAACTTGCTGAGCCTCAGTTTCTTGATCTGCAAAACATAGTAATAACAGGACCTCCCTCGCAAGGGTTGCTGTGAAGGTCAAGCAAGGCTGTGCACATGGAGTTGTAGCCTAAGAGGGCTGCACAGAGGGGGCTCTGACTGGCGCTTGGAGGATTAAAAGAGTGTTCGAGGGAAAGGAATAGCGGGAGCTTGGAGGTATGTGCAAACACCCACCCTCCCTCTCTCCCTCCTTCCCTCTTCTTTCCATTCTTCTCTCATTCACTTATCCATCAGTCTTCGGACAAGGCACTCCTGCGTGCAGCCTCTGTAATAGGCTCTGGCTAGCGGTCTTGGAGTGCCTGTGTGTGCATGTCCAGGGGCTGACCATGGAAGAGGAAATGACAGCTGCTTCTTCTTGACCTGCAGGGCTGGAAGGGACCTGGGAACCATCGGGTGCTGAGACCCAGGCCTGGGCTCCCTCCGACCCCATCAGGCTGGAGGCGCTCCGGGGAGAGAGAAACTAAGGCCAGAGCTGGGGAGGGGCTCACCAGGCACAGGAAGAAGCCCATAGAGGTGACAGGAGGCCTAGCATGCTAAGTATAGGACAGCCACTGGTGGAGCATAATGTAGCCATTCGAAATGATTTTACAAAGAATTTATTGACATAGGAAAACCCATGAAAAGAAGTAAGTTTAAAAATCAGGATCTCAGACTGTTTCCTGCAGCCATTTATGGAAATGGAAACATACTGAAAATGGTCATCCCTTAAGAGGAGAATTAGGGGAGATTCCTATTTCTTTCTATAGTCGTCATGACATTTTTACAATGGAAGATTTTTTGTATGTAATATTTTTCTGGCTCTGAAAGCTTAACAAAGAGTCCAGTAATCAGACTAGTTGTACCTGGAGCATCCTCGCTGTGTGCAGGCACTACGCCCAGCACCTCACCCCAGTCCCCTGACAATGTCACCATTTTACAGATGACAAAACCGAGGATAAGTTTAAAAGAAGGGAGGAGTTCCAGGGAGTAGTCACAAAGGAGATGTTACCACAACATTGGGGTCAACTGTTTAGGGCTTGGGATAGTTCCCAAGTCACGCTCCTTTCCTTAACAAAGCCAAGTTCTGTTCTCTATATGTGATGACTGTCCCAGCCTGCGCCCAATATCTTTTGGTTATTCCTCCAAACTAGTGGGTCTCTTGCCTGAAAAATCCAGTATGAAAAACAGTGACCGCGTAATTCCTAATCTTCTAACTAGAGCAGTTGTCTCCAAATATTTTTGATTGTATGCCCCTATTGATAAAAGATTTTAGTGTGAACACACTATCATTAGCTGATGTCTTCATGTCTTAAGGCATGATACACATTGCACATGGGCTTCACTGTTAATAAGTGGATGTATATCTATATTTTCAGTGGTTTTCTTAATTCTTCCCCTTTTTTGGCCAATTTCTTATTAGATTGTTCTTGTTTTTACATCAAAATGTGTCTGGGAGAGAACTCAGATGAGGTTAGGAAAAGGGTCACTTGGCTGTTTTCACATGTTTGTTCAGGTTTGCATCATGTTATATCTGTGGAGTTTTTGAAGATCATTTTTGTAAGGATTCCTTGGTCATAATTTGAGGCTTAGTTTAATTAAAACTGGATAACATAATTCTGAAACCCATTAACTGGGCTGAAATACTCTGTAATAAAATAAAAATGATTCAAAGATGGAGGGCCTATCACCATGGTGTCCCTTGTTCCAAGGGTGACACGTTCCCTCTTCCCTCAGGAAACCAAGCCTGTCCAGGGACCTGCAGATGTACAAAGCCAGGTCAGCTTTGGTCCGGCTATGAAATTTAGTTTTATAGACTAAAAACATAGAGAGAGATTCACACCCATTAGGATGGCCACTATGAAAAAAAAAAAAGATAGCAAGTGTTGGCAAAGATGTGGAGAAACTGCAACCCTTGTGCACTGTTGGTGGGAATGTAAAATGGTGCAGCTGCTATGGAAAACAGTATGGACACTCTTCAAAATATTAAAAATAGAATCATCATGTGATCTAGCAATCCTATGTCTGGGTACATACCCAAAAGAATTGAAAGCAAGAGCTCAAAGAGATATTTGCACATTCATGTTCATCGCAACATTATTCACAATAGCCAAGAGATGGAAGCAACCCAAATGTCCTTTGATGGATGAATAAATAAAATGTGATCTATACAATCAATGAAATATTATTCAGCCTTAAAAGGAAGAAAATTCTGGCACATGCTACAATACAGATGAGCCTGGAAGACATTCTATGCTAAGTGAAATAAGCCAGTCACAAAAAGACAAATACTGTATGATTCCACCTATATGACGGATCTAAAGTGGTCAAATTCATAGAGACAGAAAGTAGAATAATAGTCATCAGGGGTTTGGGGGAGGGGGAAATGGGGAGTTGTTCAACAGATACAGAGTTTTAGTTTTGCAAGATGAAAAGTTCTGAATATCTGCTGCACAACAACGTGAATATACTTAACACTACTGAAATGTACACCTAAAAATGGTTGAGATAGTAAATTTTATGTGTTTTAAATCACAATTTTTTTTAAAAAAACCATAGAAATGGAAATCCTGTCTTCCAATGGATCAACTTGCAAACCCCATTTTGGAAATGATTTTGGATCCTCAAGAAGGGGCTGATGTAGGAAGTATTGGAGGACAAAGGGTGGGTGGGCCTGCACACCTCTCACCTCTGCTTAGGTGGTTGCGCAGGCAAGGGTTAACCCAGCAGGCTGTGGCTGCTCAGACTCTGCACATTTCCAAGAAACACCTGTCTTCAGGACTGGCCCTTGGCTGGCTCCTGGGAGAAAGAGCTCTGAGCCCTTGGGATGTTCTGCTTCATTAGAACAGTTTTGTATGCCTGTGGCCTTGGGTCACATTGTGCTAGTTTGATTAGAGTTTATGCCAACAGTGTGATTTATGGTGGATGCCTGTTTTTGCTCTGGAGTCTGAGTAGCTGAGGTCAGGCAGGCGGGCACTGCATACCTAAGTGACTGACCCCAATAAAAACCCTGGACACCAAAGCTCAGATAAGCTTCCCAGGTTGACAACACTTCACACCTATTGTCACATGGCATTGCTGGGAGAGTTACATGTATCCATGCAACTCCACTGGAAGAGAACACTTGGAAGCTTGTACCTGGTCTCTCCTGGTCTTTGCTTCATGCACCTTTCCCTTTGGTGATTTCAATATGGATCCTTTTGCTGCAGTACGCTGCAACCGTGAGTATAACAGCTTTTCTGAGTCCTGATTCAGGTGAATCTTGGAGCCTGAGGGTGGTCTTGGAAACCCCCTGACACAGAGGTATCTCAATGGCTCTTGAATCCTGGCCTTTCCTTAAGAATCATTTCTTCTTTATTTTCTCCTACTAGCTTTTTTTCCAAGCAGAAAAGAAGGCAATTTTCTCTGTTTTCATTCATTCATTTTTTTCAACATTTTTCAAGTCCTTCCTTTGTCCAAGCACTGTGCTGCCCTGTTCCTACCATGGGTGGGAAATGCCTGTGGAAAGTAAATGTCCTCAGAGCTGGTAGAGGGCAGGCAGGAGAGATGGTACTACTTGGAGGTCACAACTCATTGTAGGAGTCAGGAGAACAGGCTTGGAGTCTAGTGGGTGCAGTTCAATTCCAGATTTGCCCCTTGGGCACCACCTCAGGCATTTGACTTTGGGAAAATGACTTAGACTTTAAGAGTCTCGATGTCTCACCTGTAAAACTGAGAGCCCTTGCAGTGGCTCTCCATGGTGATACCATCCCCACAGAGGGTGTCTGAACATATGTGGAGTGCTCTTAGGGTTTAAGGGAAAGCTACTGACAGTGCCTCAGAGGCTGAGATGCTAAATATCCTTCAATGCACATTTCACTTTATCCCACACTCGACACACAATAGTCTCAGAATAACAATACTAACTCCACTTTTAACAATATGATGACTGAAAAGTTTGAGATATTTTTGTTTTCTTTTTGGTTTTTTGTCCTTAAAGTAAATTGCTGGGTTTCAAAACTACTCATCATAGTTCCTCTCTGTGTGGTTGTGTCACTAACTGGACACACTGTTAGGCTCATTAACTCAATTTACTCATAATTTCTATGGATTCCTTTTTAAAAAATTTGATGTTGCTTTATTAGTATGTAAAATATGCTACATGTTTCCATAGTTAAATCTGCAGAACAAGCTTTACTCAAAGAAGTCTAGTTCCTTTGTTTTTCCCTCCATAAGAAACTATTTTTTAGTTTTATGATTTATCCTTCATTTTTAATTTTCATAAACAAATATGTGACATATATTTAGGCACCCCTCCCTTCTTATATACACTTTCCCCATCTTTGTGCAGCTGTCTTTCCTTATTTTTGCCAGTGTACCTTTGGGAGAGCTTCTAGAAATTTTCTGGATTGCTGGAGCAACACATATATTATCTTGCTGGGATTGCCAAATTCCTCTCCATTGGGGCTGTACCACATTGCACTCCCTCCAGCAAAGTATGACAGTGCCCATCAGCCTCACAGCCTTGCACACTAGTTGTCACACTTTTGGATTTTGGCCAATCTGATCTTAGCATGGCTTTAATTTGCTTTCCTCTTATGAGCAAGTTTGGACATATTTTCACATGGGTAAGAGTCATTTGCATTCCTTTCTCTATAAAGTGACTCTCCGTATCTTAGGCATACTTTTCTTTAGGGTCAGCCACCTTTTTTTTTTTTTCATTTATAGAAGCTCTTTATATATCAGGGATACTGCCTTTCAGCTTAGAAGTCTATCAGCTGTATTTGCCCTGAGAGGACTGGACAGGACTGAGTGGGGAAGAGAAAGGATGGAAAGGAATCACCCGCCTAGCTATGGAATAGCAATAGGGAGTCTGCCATGTCCAGAGACCTGGCTAGAAAAGAAGGTAGGTAAAGATTGCCACTGGAATTTGCTTTTCAGAGGGACACGGTTGGATGTTATTCATCTCTGAATTGATCTCCTGTGGGTTTTGTCCCAAGAATAACACCACACTTTCACTGTCTGTCAACGGTGCTCTCAGCTCCAGTGGGTCCCCGTCTGGGAGCCTGGGCAGGTTCAGGCTTCTGCTTGTGGCTCCCAGACCTATGGAGGCCCCAGGTCTTCTATGCAGCCAGGAGCAGAAGCTTAACCAGAACAGCTACCTGATCCATAACAAGCAAAATCAAGGGTGTTGGAGGGGAGGTACTGTTTAGGCTATAAAATCAGCAGTTCATGCTCTTGATAGGGGCTGGGTGCCTGAGGACTGCAGTCATTAGTCACATGATCTTTCTTGCAAGGGAGACGTTTTACAAAATAAAGTGTTCTCTGAGTGTCAATCCCCCCAGACTTTATGAGCCATAGAGAACCTCAACCTCAGGTCTGTTCAGCTTACCCTGTCTCTGCAACTGGGTGGAAATGCACCCTCATCCATTTAG